GGTGTTGGTGTCGGTGCTGGTGTCGGTGTTGGTGTTGGTGTTGGTGTTGGTGTTGGTGTTGGTGTTGGTGTTGGTGTTGGTGTTGATGTGGGTGTGGATGTTGGTGTGGGCGTCGCTATGGATGTAGCATCACCAAAGTCTGTGCATTTATAGTCGATTTGCTGTAACGCTGGACATGCGTGAAATACGAAGGGCCACCTGACCCAGAATGTGACAGGTCTTTAAACATTTGTCGAACGTACTGTAACCGAGGCAAGGATCCAACTCAGATCGACTTCAGTTACAGAATTTATACCGATTTCCAAAAGAAACGCGAATGTTAAAAATGTTTGAAAATACATCAAATAGGGCATAAATCAAGTCGAAATTGTGTGTGTTTGATACTCTGTCAGATAGTCATTCACGTCAGTTGAGTGTTCTAAAGATATTAGAGTGGCTGCTCATGGAGACCATACCGACGACATACTGAAATGTTATTTCCTATGACTTTTAAGTGAGTTACCAAATAGTCCAATCTAACTACCACTTGTTGACATTATCACAAAACACATACGAGGACGTATAAGTACAATGGACGTTATAAGCACAATGGGCGTCATAAGTACAATGGACGTATAAGTACAATGGACGTTATAAGCACAATGGACGTCATAAGCACAATGGACATTATAAGCACAATGGACGTCATAAGCACAATGTACGTCATAAGTACAATGGACGTTATAAGTACAATGGACGTTTAAGTACAATGGACGTTATAAGTACAATGGGCGTTATAAGTACAATGGACGTCATAAGTACAATGGACGTATAAGTACAATAGACGTTATAAGTACAATACACGTCATGAGCACAATGGACGTCATAAGTACAATGGACGTTATAAGTACAATGGACGTTATAAGTACAATGGACGTCATAAGCACAATGGACGTCATAAGTACAATGGACGTTATAAGTACAATGGACGTTATAAGTACAATTGACGTTATAAGTACAATGGACGTTATAAGCACAATTGACGTTATAAGCACAATGGACGTCAAGCACAATGGACGTCATAAGTACAATGAACGTTATAAGTACAATGGACGTTATAAGTACAATGGACGTATAAGTACAATGGACGTATAAGTACAATGGACGTTATGAGTACAATGGACGTTATAAGTGCAATGGACGTTATAAGTACAATAGACGTTATAAGTGCAATGGACGTTATAAGCACAATGGACGTCATAAGTACAATGGACGTTATAAGTACAATGGACGTTATAAGTACAATGGATGTCAAGCACAATGGACGACATAAGTACAAAGGACGTTATAAGTACAATGGACGTTACAAGTACAATGGACGTTACAAGTACAATGGACGTTATAAGTACAATGGGCGTATAAGTACAATGGACGTTATAAGTACAATGGACGTCATAAGCACAATGGACGTCATAAGTACAATGGACGATAAAAGTGCAATGGACGTTATAAGCACAATGGACGTCAAAGGTACAATGGACGTCATAAGTACAATGGACGTTATAAGTACAATGGACGTATAAGTACAATGGACGTCATAAGTACAATGGACGTCATAAGTACAATGGACGTCATAAGTACAATGGACGTTATAAGTACAATGGACGTTATAAGTGCAATGGACGTTATGATTACAATGGACGATATAAGTGCAATGGACGTTATAAGTACAATGGACGTTATAAGTACAATGGACGTTATAAGTGCAATGGACGTTATTAAGTTCAAAGGACGTCATAAGTACAATGAACGATAAAAGTACAATGGACGTCATAAGTGCAATGGACTTTATTAAGTTTAATGGACGTCATAAGTACAATGGACGATATAAGTACAATGGACGTTATAAGTGCAATGGACGTTATAAGTGCAATGGACGATGTATGTACAATGGACGTTATAAGTACAATGGACGTTATTAAGTTCAATGGACGTCATAAGTACAACTGGCGATATAAGTACAATGGACGTCATAAGTACAATGGACGTTATTAAGTTCAATGAACGGTATAAGCGCAGTGGACGATATCAGTACAATGGACGTTGGAAGGACACTGGACGTTACGTGTACAACAAGCGTTACAACCATATGGCTCCTGCCTAATTTAGTAGCTCTCTGGTGTCTAATTGGATCTCACACCAAAATTACTTCCAATATCCATTAGATATATTTGAATTGGGTAGATTATCTACTGGGAGCACACACCTGATAATCGCCAGTCGGGAATCCTCAGCCACTGATGCCGGCGCCAGTTTTGGGCATTAATTACCTGTGACATTAATCACATTGTTTGCACGCGGACCTGTCAATCACCACACCACCACTAACTTCGATCGATTTTTGGCCAGGAAATTACTGGTCTGACTGATGAAGCACCGAACAGGTAAGTCTGGGTAAATATAAGACTTTCTGGTGGTCAGGTAACGGATTCTGTGTGCGTAGGAATGTTTGACGTATGGTGAATTCTTCATGACGAGAAATTAGTTCCATAATAGGATTTTGGGGTTATAGCTTGATTCACATTTTTGTGTTATGATTTGATTCACATTTTGGGGTTGTATTTCGATTCACATTTTTGGGTTGTGGTTCGATTCACATTTTGGGGGAGTGGTTCGATTCACATTTTGGGGTTGTGGTTCGATTCACATTTTTGGGTAGTGGTTCGATTCACATTTTTAGTTAGTGGTTCGATTCACATTTTGGGATTGTGGTTCGATTCACATATTTGGGTTGTAGTTCGATTCACATTTTGGGGCTGTGGTTCGATTCACATTTTTGGTTAGTGGTTCGATTCACATTCGAGTAATATGTTGCTGGTGTAATTTAGTTCACAATCAAAATTTATGACTCGATTCACATTTTCTTGCTCGATTTATCTTGAAGTATTATCATTCAGCAAATGTCTCCCTCCATAACGACCATTCAAAACAAAGTCAGCGAAGGTTCCACTTACACTGTACAGTGTACATCTGCAACAAGAGACATTTAACGTATCGATTCCTTTAGCGTTGTTCACAAATGTGCGTCAGCAAAAGCAGACATATGTTTTGTGCAGACACAGTATTGCCCATCCACAACCCAACAAGAATTTCTTTTGTCGTTTCATGTTTGAGTTAAGAAACAATTATTTTGCATCACGTTTTTGTCGACGCAAAAATGCCTCTGGTAACTTCATCATTGTCTTGGAGCCGAGTTGGAAGGCTCAGACACTGATACAGAACTTCAGATTATGGGGATGCAGGTACAGAATGGTAGTCTGTATGTACAGCAAGAAGGTATTTGATATAAAAATCAATATTAACATTTAACCGTTTTCTTTGAGAGCACCATGACATTTGTCTGGGAATGGGGAGAATCTGCCAGAGAACGTTTTGCTACATTTTAGGATAAATCGTCATATTGGCTTCATGTACTCACGAAACTTGTTTTTCAAAGCATGTATGTTTTGTTGGAGTAGTTCTGTCTTAAAAGTGTGTAAACTACGCAACACCCTACCGTCACAGTCACGTGGTTGTGACGTGATATCCGTCACGTCATAATACTGATGTGTGTTACAGGTTGTCCTTTGTCGTAAGTTTATGCATATTTGTCATGACGTCATAGCATTGTTAATTAATGTATGACGTCATACAATTAACGTCTGTGATGGCACAGTTAGTGAGTGCGTGGGCATGTGGGTAGGTAATTATTGTTAAAACATGATGCAATGGCAAAAGTATGAGTAGTTATTGGGATAGGTTGACTTTGACACATTGTGTGATCGAGTGAGTGAGTGGTTTGGGTTTAACTCCTCCCTGTGCAGTATTCAGGTTTCCACGAGCACGGGTATGGTGCGGATGTAACAGGGCGTGGAGTCATCCCACAGATGGCATCCTTACCTTGTCAGCATGTTGACGTAGGTTAACCTCTTTGGTCATCTGGACATGGCGTCAGAAGTCGGATCAGAAGGTCCGTGGTTCGAATCCCAGCAAGGGAATAAAACATTTTATCGCCGCTACACTGACAAATGTACAAACATAATTGGGTCGAACCGGGATTCGTGACCACGATCATAGTCTCCTGGTGTGCAAAAGGGACGCAACTCTGCGCAGCCCTAGAATATTGGTCTACCCGTGCCTACCATGATGCCATGGCATATGTGCTATAGCAATGTACATAAATTCCTTATATGCGTTTGCATCTGAACATTAGTTTGTTATGCCACTGAAAATATTGTTATGATGTAGCATTGTTGATATTGTTTAAGTCCCGCAGTCCCTGAACCACATTAGCTTCCTTTCGGCCCCGCTTCCGTGTCTTCACCAACCCATGCTTGTCGTACTAACGGGATTGGGTGGTCAGGCTCGCTGACTTGGTTGACACATGTCATCGGTTCCCAGTTGTGTAAATCGATGCTCATGCTGTTGATCACTGGATTGCGAGGTCCAGACTCGATTATTTACAGACCGCCGCCATATAGATGGAATATTGCTGCGGCGTTCAACAGCAACACTTCCTGCTCAGCACTGCGTCTAATGCCAACGCTCAAAATAAAGCAAGTCTAGATTTCCTAACGTTCCTTTGATTCGCCCATCTCACTGTGTCTCCTTTTCAAGTTACATGGAACTATTTGTTTCTCTCAGAGTGAAATTGAGGCGGTGAGGTAACCTAGTGGTTAAAGCGTTGGCTCGTAACGCCTAAGACCCGGGTTGGAATCCCCACATGGGTACATTGTGTGAAGCCAATTTCTGGTGTCCCCCGCCGTGATGTTGCTGGAATATTGCTAAAAGGAGCTTTAGCTAGTCTGTCATACAGATCCTGAAACAAAAATACCCAATACAGCCCATGCAAGTCTACAATATGCGACAAGTCCAGATTACAACAGTTTCAGGAAAATGAAAAATGTATTTTGGACTTTTTTATTGATACTTTATGAATATAATTTTGCAACAATTTCGTTCATTTCAGAAACTAAATGTCAATCTAGGCGTTAATCTGTAGAAATATATCTCGGATCCACTGTATACAATCTTCAAAGCGGCCAGCGCGGGTTCTTTTGGCACCAGATAAACACAGAAACTCTACCTCAGCGTATTTATTTCGCAAAACTGTCACGATAACTGTTCTTCATCCAGTCCAGACCATTAGGCACGGTATATTCTCCATATGTATATCCATCGTCGACGATGTCGTTAGACCCCCTCATGTGTCCCCCCCCTGCGTTTGCTTCATCAGTGACTGCGTGAACTCCGGGAAGTCTGCCCATGACAATACCGCTGATTACTCGAACATTTCAAGCTGTGGTAATTAGTTTTCATGGCAATTAGTCTTGTAGCAGCGGACAATGGCATCATCACATTTTGGTTAGCGGTTCCTGGAAGCTGCTTGGTTCCATGTCAACACGTAAGTGGTAATCCCGATCCCTTCTATTGGCTGTTCCCAGCATTATCAGGATTATCGAAACAGGATTATATTCTTTAAAAATACAAAATGCATTTCAGAGCTTGATAAAACACAACGGCCTCAATTCCAAACCATCATCATAATCCGATAATTGCGGATGCCATCTTTGTGCCTGAAGTTTGAGACGAACTTGACATAAGGGAGGAAGGCGTTCGGATTGTAGGTACTGTTAGTCAATGCCGTGAAAATCGATACACATTGTTTAGATACAGGGAAACGCGTGACGTCATGGCTGCAGTATGAAGGTTCGAATGCCTGGGGACCGTCTTTGATCGAAACCTTCGTACATGTTGTAGACTGGAATATACGTTATGTCATTGATCTGGAAGGTTCGGCCTCGTGAAGAGCGTGGCAGCTACATGCAATATTAATGTATAATCAGCAGAAATGATGTAACCACCGTTTGTAATTATGCAATGGGGACATACCATTTACCCCCATCCCCTTTCCACCCCTTCAAGGTCCCACACCTGACTGATACACCTCCCGTGGGGCACCATCTCACTCCAGCGTCGTGCACAGCTTCCGGGACATAGTCAGCTGGTGGCCGATCATGTAATATGTTAATATGCATTATAACTCGGCGATCGTTGTCGTAACACAAGACCCCGATTCCACCTACCAAACATATGAAAAGGAACGAGCGACGCTACTTTGCCTTCATTGTTACCATAGCGACTTGATCGCAGGAATATCCTTGTATCGACACTGATAGGGCGAGGGATGTCCACATGCATGCAAGGATACAACGGCAGATCGAAGCGGTCGGCATTACTGTGCAGTAGCCATACTAGATAGCAGCAGGCTGGTGGGAGAGCGATGCGTCCAACTGGCGCCTGACAGCAGTGATGTGCGGTAGTATATTACGAGCTGCATTGTTCCTGGTCCAGCGTTCAGATGGCAGCACGTGTACCGGTCAGTGATTTTCTGGACGTACCATGTCCGTCAGCGATCGTCTAACATGTGGATATGTGGATACACTTCTCGCCCTGGTCTTCTTAGGACAACAGTGTGTACAGTCAATCGTGTTTTAGCTCTTGGTTTATGTTTTATTTAAAACAAAACAGAAGGCTTGGTGTATGGGTGTGTGGGCGACAATGGAGGGGGACGGGCCACCGTTGCCTTCTAGATGTGTAGCAAGTAGCATTAGTTGCCCCCCTCGGGTGCCCCCCGCCATGTTCCGGTGAGGAGCGCCCCCCACCCTTCATCGTGTCTGCTGTACAATGAACAATGCTCTGTGTTAATCTATTAATCCCCAGCGTATGGAATACCGTTGTGACCAAACGCCGTGCACAGATCCAGCATGAGCGACCCCGAGACGGACGCACCCCCCGACAGCGACAGTGCCGCTCTTGTTGTCGACGACGACGAGAACAATCAAAATACACCCAAGAAATCTCGGAAGAGGTTGTCAGGGGATGATCAGCGGATCCTGCTAAATGTTGGAGGGGTGCGGCACGAGACGCATGTGTCAACTCTCCGCAATATACCAAACACGCGCCTGTGTCGCTTGGCGGAAGCGCACATCCTCTCTGGGAATGGGAGACAGGAGTACTTCTTCGACAGACACCCAGCCGTCTTCAACAGCGTCATTGACTTCTACAGGACAGGTAAGGTCTCCCCCTATGGTACAATAATAATAATATAATAAATGTGCATTTGTAACGCGCCTTTTCCATGTACAAGGCACATGCTCTAAGCGCTGACATGTTACAATTATATGCATGTGAACAGAGAGGGAAATAAAGTTACTTGTAATGAGAGAAAAACGGGTGGGTGTTGAGAAAGCGTTTGAATGGGAATAGCCATACATGTCACATGTGAATAATATGTCATGTTAAAGGTGTGTATAATTGCCAGGTACAGTTTCGTACATTTTGGCAGGTTTTTTTAGGTCTGTCAAAGTTTTTTCTCTTTGGGGGGAACTTTTATCTCCAGAACAGCATCCAAGAGAGTCTTTGGCATTCCCAAACAACAGCACCATGTACTTGTAGCATTTCTTGGTTGTAGTTCAAAGTACACATGGATTTTCCTAGATACCGTACCAAAGATTTGCTTAGATACTGTAACATTCACTCGTGGATGTCCTTAAACATTGTACCTTTTATTCATGGATGTTCTTACACGCTTACATTCTATACATTTTTGTCGTGAATTTTATTAGATTAGGAACGTTTTACGCGTGGATTTCCTCGGATACATTACTATAGTTTTTATTCGTGGATTTCTTCCAACACTATATGTTTTACTAGTGGATTTCCTCAGACACTATATTTTTACTCGTTGATTTCCTCAAATACAATACATTTTATTTGTGGATTTCCTCAGATACTCTCCTTCTATTCGTGGATTTCACTTGATCCTGCACATAGATCCTGTAATTATTTTCTCAACTATAATCAATCCACCCGCAATTAGAGCGATGTCCCCTTAAATGCCACGATACGTTTTACCCTAGTGCACCCCCATGCCCGCACCCCACCCACCCCCAACCCACCCTAATTACACTCCACCGACCCTGATATTATGTCACAGTCTCAGTACATCGTGTATTGATCCGTGTATCTGCATAACAGAGAATGTCATGTTTAAATGTCAGCGTCACCTTCGTGGGAAGAACTTTAATCTGATTATAATAGGTAGCCTCCAGGGTCTACCGAGAGAAGAATTCTGCCACAACAACACGGTTCGCCCTTAACGGAATATCAAAATTTCCCCATCAAAGCACACCATCCATGGGGGACGGGATGCTAAATTAGACTGTGTGTGGGGTGGTTGAAGAATTTTATCATATGACCGTCAATTTGTATCGCCGCGTGTCTTCGTGGTTGATTTTCTTACGCTTGTTTAACGAGCCCCCGATGGCAATGAGAGTCGTGATTAGGCCTCCGTCACAGACGACGGACGCGCAGACAGACGCCGCAGCGCCGTGGGGTGTACTGATCTCGTGTGACCCCCGCCAAGCTCCCAATGTCATGAAAAACAAATCCTATTTAGACAAACATGATATTGTTGCTTGCAACCATTGATCAATAGAGCCAGACAATGTCGTCTTGTAGTGGAGAATATGTCCTGTGAGATGCTTGTGTTGTTGCTCTGGAGAGGGTGACTGGGGTACTGACCCTGTGGTGTTTGGGAGAGGGGTGAGGCGGGATACTGTCCCAGACGATTTTAGTGGGGATAGGGCACGACATATGTGTATTGGGGTACGGTGGTCTTATAGTCGCGACAGTGGTTTAGATAACAATGATTGTGGATTGGCTTGACTGAAGATGAGATGGTTTGTGGAAGGGAGAATGAGTGGTGTAACCACACGGCGGACCAGATTAGGAAGGGTGGGGCGATATCACAAAATGGAATGGATGATTTGGAATTCGAGGTGGGGCGACACGACAGGGTTGTTTGTGAGTAGGGTGGCGTCTTGTACACGTCTACAGAACGCGGAAATGAGATATTTCTTGCGCATGAACCTGTTGCTGACTGAGAACGAAGGCCGTTTGAAGCTATGAATCAGTTAGATGGAAAGGCTAGCTCGACCTCGAGCTCAAGACGAGTCGGCTGGCGGCGGTTCCAGTGTCCATTTTGTCAGTGCTGTAACGGTGTGTGTATTGGAAGGGGAACTGGATTGATCATTGAGTCATCGCAACGGTTGATCATCCTAGGTTGCTGTTGTTTATGTCCGGTGCTACCTACTCATACAAATTCACATTCCGACCGCTGGTGCCGCGTGTTGTTTGTGTATGAAGTTCTTCAGTTCAGGGCGCATTTTGTCAACATGGCCAGCTGTCAACATATACGGTTTCCTTGGTGACTCAAATGTTGACACGCAGGCGAACTATATTCACATGGGGCAAACCAAATTCTTAATGAATATATCATATATCATCACTCTATGGTGTCAACAGGAATGGTTGTATCATGGGTACCCGGTAATTATGTATGTATATTTGCGCGTGCGTGTGTGAGTGCGTGCGTGCGTGCGTGCGTGCGTGCGTGCGTGTGTGTGTGTGTGAACAGGGTTCAAACTTCATGACAGTAACCACGAGGTTTTTTTTGGTGATATTGTAGCCTGTCGAGGTGAAGCTAAGGGTGGCCATTGAGAATAATTTACTGCTTAAAGCGTTAACCCGTTACACCAAAGGCTTGGGTTCGATTCCGAATGTTGGCACGATATGTCAAGTCATGTTTGGTATCCCCGCCGTATTTTGCAGGACTCGTTCACTCAGTCATGGAAACGCCAATTCCTGGAGTTCTGGACCATTAATTCTTTGATATATTGCACAGTCTGGAAGCTACACGAGATGCCTTTGTTCAGCATCCTTTTGTATAATGCATGTGTTGAATGACAAGTGGGTTAAAGCAATGTCAACAAAGGTTTGGTTTCAATTCTAGCATGACTGCTTCTGCGTCTTTTTAACTATTCTTCCCGGACGCATATACTTAGGTTAATTTCAGCCTAGGTAAAGTCACATCAAAAACAATTTTCTTCATCAATCACATGATTGTGTGGTTTGTTTACAGACCGTCGCCTGACAGGAGTACTGCTGTGCAGTGTCAGGCAAAGCTACTACCATTTTTAGACATATTTTGTGAATGGCGGGCGCTTCCGTTAGAGCAGGACATGCAAACCCTTTCGCGAACACCTGGTGTCATCACTGATTTTCAGTGATCCATTCATATATTTTTCACAGCTTTGATCTCCTCAGGCCAAACATAAGTTTATTCTGGGATAGTCATGACTGGGTATTCTTTTGCCCTGACGTTCTTAATCATCCAGAAGAATTCTGGGCGGGACCTTTGTACTCAGTTGAATCTAACATGTCTGGACATGCATTGATATATTGAAATAGACATTTACTGCTGATTCGCAGTTTCAATCGTTCACGTGACAGTCAAATATAATATTGCAATCTGACGGCAGTCATAATATAAAATACATTTTCCCTACTTTTAGAAGAATTGTGGCTATAGCTTTTGAATTCATTTGAGTCTTACATGTAGGGACATGCTTTTGATGTACTGAAATAGACATTTATGCTGCTTCGCCAGTTCCACTCGTTCACGTGACTATCATATTAAACAATACAGCCTGACGTCAGTTGTGACCTTAAATACATTTCCCCTTTCTTTTAGAAGAATTGTGACTATAACATTTGTGCTCATTTCAGTCTTACATGTTGGGCCATGGATGTGACATTTATTCTTGACTCACTAGTTTTTCCCGTTCACGTGACAGTCATATCAAACAATGCAATCTGACGCCAGATGCGACCTTTAATAAGTTTTGCCCTGTTATTAAATGTGTGTTTCATTTTTACCATAAAACTGTTATTCTCACACATCGACCATGGTATGTAATTATGTAGGCGACATCTGGTTCTTCACGGTTGACAGTGCTATCCAATATCACGATTCCATTATAACTTATTACGTATTTAAGTTCAACAGAACACGACCCAGTGGACCCGATTCGCCAGATGGCAACGATGGATAAAGGGAATGCAATAAGGTCAGATTGTCTCGACGTACGCAGGGCGCCCAGTTATCTGAGGTGCTCTCTGGGCAGAGTTGCGTCCCTTGGTATTCCAGTAACCTAAGACTGTGGGTTCGAATCCCGATGCGCACTGATTATACATCCAGGTTTGTCAGCGCCACGTCCGTGCTCCTGGGTTCCACCAAAATGGCAAATGTCTGAGACCTGCATTATTTCACGTTTTGCTTCCCCATTGAGCTGATTGTAACCCTAATTCTGACGAAACCGTGTGTTAAACCAAATTCACTCACTCACTCATCATCATGAAATTAGCGTGTCGATTTATATATTGATACGTGATAATAATTAGTTGTCAAAAATGGTAAATAATGTTACTATGTAGTGTTAGAGGTGTTTATGTTGTTTTATGTGGGTGCTTCTCGGGTCAGGTGTAATCAGGAAACTTCTGGAATCTTCTTGACTAATACAGTACGTTATGGAACTTTCTAGAAGGTCTTAAGTATTAAGACTATATACGTGGAAAAGAGCATGCCTCTGTCGTTTCACAGTGCATCGAGACCAGTGTTTGTGTGAATCTTAACCCTGGATGTCCAGCCTTGGCTTATTTTGGACGCTTGACCACTGTTGCTGGGTGACTGTTAACATTATTACTATCATATTCTGTACCGCCATTGTATTTGTAGAAATATTGAAATTTAAACTGCAACACTATTGTTAGCCTTGTTCCAAGGCTGCACTGAATGCTAAGCCCACTGATGTATAGTGCTACTTTCCTTTAAAGAGGCAAGTCTAGATAAGGGGACGCCAGTCTGTTATTAATTTCTTAAAAGAAATAATCATTTGAATTATTAATTATCATATTGGAGACTTGTGCAAGTCTGCTCTATTGTGTACTTCCGTTGTAATATCTTTGCAGTAATTCGTATTGACTAGTAAATCTGTTTAATTTTAATATTTATTTGTTTTATTAATTTGACACGTAACAATACCAGTCAGTTAATATCTAGAAGTCAGCCAATCTCTTGCAATTTGTTGTATGCATTATTTCATTTAAGTCAGTTTAGAGCCATTCCGAGAAGTGAACAGTGTCAATATGCGTTCATGTCTAATTTCATG